GGGGGGGGTCAGGGATGTCCCAAGGGGGTGAGGGATGTCCCGGGGGTGTCACCTGCAGCCTCCAGCGCCAGGCGCAGCTCGTAGGCACTGATGGAGCCCGACTTGTCCAGGTCGAACTTGCGGAAGATGCTCTGGGAGGGGAGACAAAGCACCCCAAAAACAGGGGTCAGGAAAGAAGAGAGACCCCCAAACAACCCCCAGGGAATCCCCCAAAACCCCCAGTGCACCCCAAACCTACCCTCAAAAATAGGAGTCAGGTAGGAGGAGAAACCCCCAAACACCCCCCAGTGAACCCCCAAAATCCCCTCATTGCACCCCAAACCTACCCCCAAAAAACAGGAGTCACTCAAAAGAGGAAAGACCCCAAAACACCCCTCAACTGAACCCCAAAATCTCCCTCCCAAAAAAAGGGGGTCACTCACGAGGAGAGAGACTCCAATGCCCCAAAAAAAGGGAATCACCCCCAGAGAGAGACTCCAAACCCCCCAAAAATGGGAGTCACCCCCAGAGAGAGACTCCAAACCCCCCAAAAAGGGGGTCACCCCCAAAGAAAGACTCCAACCCCCCCAAAAAGGGGGTCACCCCCAAGGAGAGACTCCAAACCCCCCAAAAAGGGGGGTCACCCCCAGAGAGAGACTCCAAACCCCCCAAAAATGGGAGTCACCCCCAGAGAGAGACTCCAAACCTGCCAAAAAGGAGAGTCACCTCCAAAGAGAGACTCCAAACCCCCCAAAAGAGGGGGGTGACCCCCAAAGAGAAACTCCAACCCCCCTAAAAAGGGGGGTCACCCCCAAGGAGAGACTCCAAACCCCCCAAAAAGGGGAATCACCCCCAAAGAGAGACTCCAAACCCCCCAAAAGAGGGGGTCACCTCTAAAGAGAGACTCCAAACCCCCCAAAAAGGGGGGTCACCCCAAGAAAAGCCCCCCCGGCCCCCCGAGGGGGTCCCAGCCCCACCAGGTAGTTGCGGATGCGGTTCCAGAGCACGTTGAACTCCACCAGCCCCAGTTTCCCGTTCCCATCTTTCTGGGGGGGGTTGTTAAGGAAAAGGGGGGGGCTCTGGAGGCTCGGGGGGGTCCCCCCAAACTCCCTCCCCACACCCCCAGGCAGAGGATACGTCCATGAGGTTGACCATGCTCCGGCACGACTCGGTGCTGAAGCCCTTGGTCCGCAGGTCTTTGTCTGCAGCGGGACGTTAATGAGGGCGGGGTTAATTAATTGGGGCTAATTGGGGTTAATTAATCGGGGTTGGG